GCACGCCCATCAACCCTTGCGCACCATGCCCTCGCCTCACCTAGCACATGCCCCGCCTACGCCCACCGCGTGCGCGCCCACCTGCCATGCACACACCATGCCGCTAGCCCTCCATGGGCGCCCCACCATGTGATGCCACCACCCCATGGCCGCCCCATCCTTGGTGCAAAAACAAGTGACTTGTCGCCCACTCCATGTCATTTTAGGAATCTGATTCTTCCTAATTTGTTTCAAAAAAATTGTGAGATTTATTTTATTTGCTTTTTAGATTTAGCAATTATTTTGAATTTTAGGAAAGATCTTTATTTTGATTTTCCTTGGTTTGTTTGATTTTTTATCAAAATTAGTTTAAGGAAATGATTGGCTTATTTGATTAGAAAGTTGACAATTTAAGGTCTTTCAATTATTTGTTTTATTTTTATTTTTAGGTTTTATTTTAATTTTTACATTTTCCTAGTAAAGGCCTTGGGCCTTAGCCTATAAATAGGCTTGCACCCCTTGATTTCACACCTTTGATTGATATAGAATTTCGAAAATTGAGAGTTTTCCTTTGTGTGGTTGAACTTCGGTTCTCATATTTTACCCCACGGAGCATGCTTGTTTGATTGGTCACCAAACTCGTGGAGTGTTTCCGGTCTCAAGCATAGTGAGTATTCTGTCTGCTCAAGGTAATGACTGCAAAGGTAATCTATCCAACCCTTAGGCTTTCGGGTTGAAACCAGTTATACCATTAGGTTCAAGTGGCTTGTGGCTCGAGTAGTCCATACGTTTGAGTTGTCGTGTATCATTTGGCATCAGAGCTGAGGCTCTAGATCGAGATTTATGTTATTCTTCTGCATTTAAATTCCTGTCTTTGTATTTACTTTCATCTTATTCGAAAATCGTAAAAAGATCATCCTTGTTCTTGTTTCTTCTACATGCCAATTTTTCTATCATTCTTGCATAAGAATTTCTTACTTAAAAAATTACTTTAACGTGTATAAATCTTGTTTGTTTGCGTTCAACATCTAAAAAGTTTTCCAACAAACCAAAGTTTCACTTTAATCCAAGTCTCGAAGCCAAAGTTATCAAATTTTCTTCGAACCCCGGAATTTGAGAGATACCTGCAGAGAGCCAAATCCGAGAGCTAACTTAAGAATATCATAACTTTTTGCTCCAAAATCCAAATTGAGTAAAATTGGTGTCATTTGAAAGATTTGTGAGTTAGCTTTACATAGAGATCAGAATCAATAATTTTAGATCTGTGGTCTAGAAGTTATTTAATTTTTAGTGAACACTATTTCTGGAAAAATCCTGCTGCAGTCGAGAGTTCCCTGTACCAACTTCGATGATTTATATCTTACTGACTTTTTTTTGTTTATAGCCAAATTAGATATGAAATTGAAGGTCATTGAAAGAGCTTTCTAGGAACATAAGGATCATAGCCATCCGAGGTTTGCAGTAAAAGTTATCGGTGATTGAAGAAAAGATGTCCAACTGAAAACTTTTCATATTTGGAGCTGGACGATTTTGGAAAAATTCTTTGGGCAATCAAATCTGGTCCAAATCAATTTATTTTTGGCAAGTAATCATATTATTGTTTATTATTAAATTTAAAAATATTTTAGGATTATTTTGTTAACATAGGATAGTTATAAGAAGGAGGACATCCACCAACACCCGATTGGGCTACCTGAGAGAGGCCATTAGTGCAGCCCCATAATTCTTTTTGAGAGAGCAGCCCCTCCGAACAATTCCAAATCCATTCGGCAACCCACATAATTTAAGTACACTCGTGCTTTCATTTGTCATTAGTTTGAGCCTCATCCGAGTCGTACACAATACGCACCCCTCACCCAAAGTCATCCATCTTGCTGCAAAGCCTACTGTTTTTGTTGGTAAGTTACTTTTTGTGTGTGCTTGACTATGAATTGGATTTTGTACATCTTTTTAARTCAATTTTTGTTTTCTTAAATTTTTATTACATATTTCTTTTACTATTCAGTTGTGACTTCAATTTTGCATATTGTGGTCAAGTCTCAAGTTACCAAGAGCATTAAGCTCAAGGTTTTTGCATCTTGTTTTTCTTAGTATCCTTTGTCATCATTTGTCCTTATCATTCGATTGTTTCATTCTTCTCTTTATAATATCATTTGGTATCTTTCATATGATTTGTTTCTTAGTTGTCATTGATATCATCTATATCCTTGACCCCATACGGAAAAAAAAAAGAGAGATAGTATCTTTGCATAGTTACTTGTAGACTTTTGCTTGCTTGTTCAAGTGCTGATTCGCCATGAGCAACCAAGTAAGCATCTCAAAGAGAGTAGCCACATCAACATCACCCTACCAAAGGAGAGAAAGCCGAGAGGTTAAGTAAGGGAGTGACGTGAGAATTTTTTTTACTAACCTTGTCTTTTGTAGTTATGGAGCAACAAAGGAGATCTCGTAAATCTCAAGGAGAAGGAATAAGTCCACGAGGCGAGAATTATAATAACATTGTTTTTAATGTAGATAATCAAAGGAGGAAAGATCACGATACTAATGGCTAACTTGGGCACTCAACCCCTACACTTCCTAAGTTCCATGGAAGTACGAAGCCACAAGAATATCTTCAATGGGAGGACCAAGTCGAGAGCATCTTGCGAAACACCATGGTTGGAGTGAAAGCATCAAGGTAAATCTTATTATCATTTGTTTTAAAAATTATGTTATAACGTGGTGGGATGCTTTATTTTTTAGTAGCAAAAAGAATCGAGAAAGTTGAATCATCTCATGGAGAGAACTCAAGCCATAATTAGGAGACAATTTGTTCTCAAGTCATTAGTCAAGTTGAAAACTTGAGACAAAAGGACAAAAGTGTTGAAGCCTACTACGACGAGATGTGCTCATTGCTTGAGGAGCTTAACATCTACGAAGATGAGGAGATCACCATGGATCGGTTCTACAACGGACTCAATGGAGTGATTGCAAGGGTGATTGCGGAAAGAGAAGAAATTCAACCTTGTACTAAGTTGGAAGAAATGTTGCACCTTGCCAAGAGGGTTGAAAGAAGGCATCAAAGAGTATCTTCAAGGTATACTAATCCTAAACCTATTACTCATGAAAGTCCAACTTTAGAAAAGGTTAGTTTGCCTACTTTAGTCCCAATAGTAGAAAATAAAGAGCATGACATATTTTGTGGAACTATGTATGTTATACCTACTACTAGTGCTAGAAAAGTATTGCATGACCTTATCTCTATTGTTAAGGAAGAAAATATTAATATTGATAATGAAATACTTTATGATGCTATGCATGTTGATCCTATTCCACTAGATTGCAATGTATTACATGATTGTATGCCTATTGATGAAAAGGTAAGTGGTACAATTTAAGATAAAACACCTTGTGAATCCAAACGTGAAATTCCTATTCCCGTGGATTACAAGTTGTTGCATGACATCTTATCCATTGTTGAGAAAGAAGGTGATGAAAAAGAAGAAGACATGCTTTGTGAAACCATATATGAAATTTATATTCCCATTGGTAACAAAGTATTGCATGAAGTTGATGAGAATGAGAGTTGTATAGTAGAAAAAGTGATTCTCAGTGATTCTATGCATAACAATCTTAATTCTTTAGATCACAAAGTTTCTTTTGATTGTGAAGTACCTACTCTTGAACCATTGATGCATGAAGAAACATTTGTGGATACATGTGAGCCGAGACAAATAAAAAAAAAAGAAGAAGAATTGAGAAAAGAGTATGAAAAGAAGGAAGAAAAGAAAGGGAGAGAGATCCAACATATTTGGCCTTACAAGTCAAATCTTATAGAAGTATTGCATAAGGATCCCTACTTACAAGCTAACATGTTTTATCCTAGTGCTTGTACTCTTTTGAGACTTTTGCAGGAACTTTCAACTCCTAAACTCAATCAAAGTCAAATGAAAGGTGAGTTGAAAGTTAAGGAGAGCCATTACAAGATGGAGATTAATGGACTTACCCTACCAATTTCTCAAAATCCCAAGATCACCTTAGAAGGTACGTAAAGGATAAATTTAAATTTTTGAAGATATTAGTTTCGTTTTTGTGTAGGTCATCATGAATAAGTAAAGATATGGCCAAGAATCATGAATAAGTACTTATTGAAAAAGTCCTCTAAACAAAGTCATGGCCGAGAACACCAATTGTTGTGTTGGAGAATTCAAATGTCAAGCACCATAGGAGGAAAAAGGGATCCAAGCATAATGTCAACAAACTAAGTGATTGGGTTTGGAAAAATTTTTGGAAAGAATGAAGATGTTTGAAAAGAAAATTCAAAAGAAGGCCAATGAGAGCATCATTACCAAAAGACTTCAATAGAACTCTACAAGGTAAGTATAATGTACATCTTGATTTTGGTTTATAACTTGCTTTCTTTATGTGTAGGTCACAAATTTAATTTGAGGACGAATCCTTTTCAATAAGTAAGATATGATCATATTTGGCAACAAATCCTTGGAACCACATCACTACAAGAGGAGAGCACTACCTCACGTTTAACACTATCAAATGCACGATAACCTTGAATGGAGACAACCCATGAGCACACGTGATAACTCTCCAAAAGAGAGTTATTTGTACAAGAACTCCATATAAATTAGCTAAGGGTAGCCACATTAACACCCAATCTCACTGATTTTGTGCAAAGAACGTTGCAAATTCACTATCTTCCTTATTTTTGATGATGATGTTGAGAGTTATGAAGAACATCCTAATTTTGAATGTTTTGTTGCAGCTTTGTTGATGCTGCAGCATCAGAAGAAAAAAGGCATAAAAAGACAGAGTTGACATTTACAGCTTTTACCCGAGAAATTACTGCAGTAAAATGGAAAAATACTTGATATGCTGAGCTGGGGCCCATTTTCTCATTTGTGTTGTCCTAAAATCAAGAGGGGTATAAAAGCTTGCAATTAGGGTTACCTCCAACAACTCTCCAACATTCTCCATTCCATCACTTGACTCTCACTTGAAGAAAGCTCTCAAGAAACTGTTGAAGAAGACAACAAAGGGAGAAGGGCTGCTGCTATTCTTCATTTTCTTCTTCTTTTGTACTCGGTGCACTGGTTTTGTATTTCCTTCTTATATTTTCTTGTATGGTATTGAGTAGCTAAGTTTATTTGTAAGGGGGAGGMTGTTGTGAACTTGTTCTTGGGCTATAAACTTTGCTTTGGCTTTAATGATAATATATATACCGAATTGAAGTTGTTTTTAACGTTTTATTTTCAATGTGCTTGGCCAACATATTAGAGTATCCTTTTATTAACTCTTAGAAAATTGTAATAGGATGCGTTTGGCTTCAACTCGTGCTAGATCTACTTGAGTTTAGAGTGTGGGTACTTAGGAATAAGGGTCACCTAGCAAGGTTACAAACTGAGTATATATGCTGTCAAGTTTGTCTAAAAACATGAATAGCAGAAAATCTGGAAATCTGGGAAGATTTCGTGTCTGTTTGGCCAGTATATCAACATCATTAATGCTACAGCATCATTAGAGTAGCCCAGAAAAAGTCACACAAACTCTTCCCCCTTACCCTTTTAAATATCAGTAATTAACCTCTTGTTAGCATATTTTTCTTTAATCGATTTCGTTTTGCTTGTTTTTGCCTTTTTTTTACTCAGCAAATCATACATGCACTATTTTGTTTGAGTTCCTTTAGTTTTTCTTGTTCAAAACATATTTTGTTAATTTGTTTATTTTCTTAAGTAATTGTTGAAGTGTTTAGTTATCAATTCCTGTGGATACGAACTTTTTATCACTTGCTACAACGGTTGTGTACACTTTCACAAATGGTTATAAACTGTAACCAACAAGTTTATGGCGCCGTTGCCGGGGATTGACTCAACTTTACACTTTATATTTTTGCTTAAGAAAATATGTGCTAGAAAGATTTCTTTTAACTACTATTTTGGTGGATCTTGAAGGTGGATGCACGATCTGCAAGGGTTGGAATATCTGCTCGAAAACGAGATAACATACTTTTCATTGAAAGAAGAAAAGCACAACGTAGACAGCAAGTAGAGGTTGGCCCTATGGATCAACTACTGAGAATCCCTTACCACTGGTCATATCCTAGAGCCTCAAGTGACAGAACTGGTTGAGGAGCTGATAATAATGATTTAATGGCTTTACTGAAGCAACTTGACTAATATGGTCAAGAACATGAACAATGCTGCAGCATCGTCAACTAGCCATGGAATCAACAATGTACTAGCCATCTCCTGTTATTATTGCGAGGGATGGAGGTAGCACCCCACTTTCAGTTGGGGAGAGAACCAAGGACAGCAGGATGCCTCTCAATTTCAGCAAAAGGCGATTCACCACCTGGGCTCATAATGTCTAATCAATAGCAGGAAGTGAAGCCAACAACAAGTTCTTCCAATTATGTGGAGAATCTGATGATAGAGTACATGGTGAAGAATAATGCAGCACTCCAAAGCCAACAACTTCTCTAAGAAATTTGGAAGTCCAATTGGGGTAAATGACAAATGAGTTGAAAATCTACCAGATTTTGGAGTGAAAATCTCCTACTTTTATTTACTGATATGAGCGGTAACTTAACCTTGGAAATATTCTATTGCTATATATGTATTGATATGAGAGGTATTTTAACCTTTATGAAAGAAAATCCTTCGTTGAAATGGTTGATGAAGGGCCTAGCTTGTTGATGTGGTAGAGGGATGTTGGGTTTTATGCCCTAAACTCGTTTTGTGTGTGTTTTGTTGATAAGGAAACACTTATTCATCAAAGATCGCATGTCTTGAGATATAGACTCTATGACTTTGGGAATCAAGGCACCTATAGCCTTTGGGACTATATCCAATGAAGACACATTGATAAGTTCTTTTAGCAAATTTGTTAGAACAATAATTGCGTAAAGAAAGAAGACTAATTGTTGTCCAAACATTGGCAATTATCATTATCCAAGGATGGTGAGAATCATAGCAATGACCCACTTTTATTTACTGATATGGGAGGTATTTTAACCTTGTACGAAAGAAAATCCTTCATTGAAATGGTTGATGAAGGGTCTAGCTTGTTGATGGGGGCAGAGGGAGAGATCTTGTGATCTCTCATAGGTTGCACTCTTAACAGAATGAGGTGGACTTTGACCTCTTAGTATGCAGAGGTGGACTCGTCCTTTTGATGGTCGCCTTTTAGTGACTCGAGGTGGAACCCACATCATTGCCACGTGGCCTCGTCTCTAACGGCCACATGATGGACGTTTATTCACCTATAACAAAATCAATTGAATCTTCAACAATTTCGAAAACAAACGTCCAAAACACATCCTTCCAGCCAAATTTATATCTCATACAAAGAATCAAGAACAAATTAGAGATTGTACTACTATGCAACGAAAATAAATATAATCTTATTCATTCCACATATTTCATTTCTCTAGAAATTGTTGTGAACAACAAACATGGACAGGCGTGGAGAATTTGACTCTTTGACTTCAAGAGAACTGAGTATAAATCTTTACGATTGAGCTATGCTTTTTTTTTAGGTAGAGTTATGCTTATGTTGGTATAGTAGCGTTGCACTGATACATTTCATACTTCTACCATTTGAATATTTTGATCTAGCATTTTTGTATATTTTTTAGAACTTTTGGGAATCATTATATGACTTAATTAAACGGTAAACTTTAATTCTTTATTTATTATTATATTTTGAATCCTTTAATTATTTACTTGAGAACACTTACTCAAAGGTCAGAGGTTTCTCCCGCCCTATATTTGTTGAAAAAATATATTTTTTAATATTATAATAAAGAGAAAGAGCCAAAATTAAGCAACTTTAATGTATACATTTGTCATCATTACAACTGTGTGTAACGCCAGTTTATATGCATTAGTTTTGTTGGTTTATTAATTCAAAGTTCTTTCTTCTTCACAAAAAAAAAATTTGTACTTCTACCATTTGAATATTTTAATCTTGCGTTTTTGTATATTTTTTAGAACTCTTGACAATCATTATAGGACTTAATTAAACGGTAAACTTTAATTCTTTATTTATTATTATATTTTGAATCCTTTAATTCTTTACTTGAGAACACTTACTCAAAGGTTAGAGGTTTCTCCCGCTCTATATTTGTTGAAAAAATATATTTTTTAATATTATAATAAAGAGAAAGAGCCAAAATTAAGCAACTTTAACGTATACATTTGTCATCATTACAACTGTGTGTAACCTCGGTTTATGTGCATTAGCTTTGTTGGTTTATTAATTCAAAGTTCTTTATTCTTCAAAAAAAAAAAAAGTCAAAAGTTCTTTTATTAAAACGGTGACGAATTCTCTTAGCCAAACAATGAACAAGAAGACGAAGAAGAAGGGGATTTCATGGCAGGAAAAGAAAGATGTAACTGATCAAGAACAAATTCTCCTACGCAAAGACTTGGATCAGCTCAAAAATTGGGTTAACATTCTATTCTATTCTTTCTTTTCTTTTCTTTTCTTTTCTTTTCTTTTCTTTTCCACCAAACACCAATCATTTTCCATTTTGCAGATACAAATGGTGGATTCCATGAATGATGAGCAGTTAAAAGATTATCTGCACAATAGACCTAAGGAATTGAAGACTCTCAAAATCCAACAGAGCAACTCCAGACGTCGACGCCGCGTATGATTCTATGATTACTATTATCGTTCTTTTCATTTTAGTTTATGTAGTTTTCAATTTTTAAAATTTTTTTCAATTTAACTTTAGATGAGAGTTTGAGATTCAAACCTTGGAGTCGTTTAGGTTAGGCTTTAAAATTTTAAATTAATATCAAGGGAGTGACAGGAAGAAAATGGAAGGAAAAGGTAACAATAGAGGAAAATATTTAGAAGTTGAGGGTCCAAAATAAAAATAAGATCGAAATATGATTTAAACTACCGTTAAAGCAAAATAATGGAAAAATTTACAAAAATATCAGGGAAGAAAAATATTTACAAAATGTATGTTTACACTTATATATTATTCAATTATTTTATTTATGGGAGTTACAAATATGACAAAAACCTTTAGTAAAATTAGTAAAATAGCAACCACATTTATTTCTTTTTAAATTAAAAAAAACGGAAGCTCAATTTTAAAATGACATTTTTACCCAAATAATATACCTCCGTAGTAAATTAGTAATATATTTGTAATACATATGACTATTAATATATATATACATGTGATATACATCTAATATACTACTGATATGAGTGTCCGATATACTACAAATATACTACTGATATAAGTGAAAATTTGTACTATATTTGACAATTTTAAAAAACAAGTGACATATTTGGAAATAAATAAAAGATTTTAGCTACCCATTACAATTTCTCTTTTATCATATTTCCAAATTGCCTCTGATTTAATTTAAAAAAATTCCACTTAGATTTTTTTTTTTATTCATTCCTTTGTTTAAATAAATCTCAATATTTCTAATTACTTATTTAGGATGTAATGTTTATTTTAAAGTTGATAGTTTTCTATTCCAAGAATTTAGGCTTAGAATATTTTTTGTTAGCATCTTTTCAGTACAGTGACATTTTCGTCGAAGATAGATTACTATTTTTGGTTATTAGCAAAGGTTAGAGTTTCCTTTTTTGCATATTTGTGTTCCAACGATTTGATTCAAGAAGATTCTACTAATTTTGTTGCCTAAAATTTCATCATTTTATTTTTGTTAAAATACTAGTTTGGTTGATGTACTTTATTTGGTTTATTTTGGTCCTTTACTCTCAAAACGTTCATTTTGACCTCGTATACTGAACTTTAGTTCATTTCGTTCTTATATTTTCAAAAGGTTCGTTTTGATCCATGTACTTTCAAAAAGTGACCATTTTGATCTCTTCAATTTATTCTTAATCTCATTTTCTTTCTCACAATTTTCAACACGACACTACACTTAATATATTTTTTGAAATGTAACTTTGACTTTGTGTCGAAGAGTTTTCGTTATGTATAGAATTTGTATTAAAATTTTAAAAAAAGGAACCAAAATGGGAACTTTGTAGAAGTATCAGAACCGAAACAAACATTTTGAAAGTACATATGCTAAAATAAACCAAAGTTGAAATTATAAGTACCAAAATGAACATATTTTGAGAATATAATAATTAAAATGAACCAAAGCTGAAAATAGGGGACCAAAATAGTATTTTGACATTTTATTTTTCTTTTCATTTTTAGTCTCTAAATACTTAGAAAACGTCCATTTTAGTACCTATATTTTTTAAAAGAGGTGGTTTTGGTCTCTTCTTTTCATCTATTAAAATATTCCTGTATCTAGGGGCACATGCATAATTTTATTTTTTTTCATTCATATTTGGGTAAATATTTTAGGTTATTAGACAGTTTTGTAAATATTTATAGGCAGCTGGAAAATTCAAAATAGTTATATTTATAATTTGGGCTTTTTTTAAATGGCAGGTACAGAAAATTGAAGATCCAAGATATTGGGCCTCCTATGGGATAATGGCTTCAGTTTGGAAGTTTCACAAACAAGACAATAATGATCAGCTCCTCCCATAGTTGCCTCAACTTTTTTTTTTTGTGGTTAAGTTATTAAATGTCTCTCAATTTTTTAGAATTGTCGAAATTGAGGGATATTTCTGAAAAAAATTATAAAATTTGTAACAAATATTTAAATCAACGAATTACTTTTTAAATAATGATGGTATTAGTTATTTTTTTATATTTTGTAACAAATATTATCTTCGTATTAGTGATGGTATGTGTTTTTTTTTATATGTTGTCGATATTTTTGTAATACTATAAAAATTTTGATTCACCTTTCATGTTGAATATTGAAGCATTAATACCTTGACTTAAAGACTTACTAAAAAAATTCCAGAGTATAAAAATTAAATAAACACAACTCTAAAAATTCAAGGTGTTTGTTTGTTTGTTTCTTTTTTTTTTTTTTTCTATTGAGTATAACATGTGAGGGTGAGAATTCGACACGACCTTTTAAACGAAGATAGGTGTCTTGACCAAATGAACTAAAAATTCAAGGATTAAACTTATAATTCAATGTGGACTAAATAATAAGCGTAAAATTATGATATAGGTTAAGAAAAAATTGGAATTCAAACTTCTGACTTCTTAGTCATGAACTAAGCTACGTTGGCATCAAAATCCTATTATGCAAAGCCATAAAAATGTGTCCCAAGAAACAGCTCTAGTGAATACTTTGAAAGGATAAGTGACTTTTCATCCAATGTTGCAACCTTTTGATTTCCCTTGTTCATAAGGGTAAAAAGAAGCTAAATGTGTGCTATTTTCTAACGTTTTAAGCTCGGAAACAGTATTTTAAGCTTATTATAGTATCCAAAACCTTTCATTTTAAGTTATCTTAGGTTATACATGCACATAGGACGTTTTTACATCATTTAGAGTTGATTTCTAATGGAAATTACACTTTTGTGCAGAAAAATTTCGAGCTAGGCGCCTGGCGCCTTCCCCAATCCCGAGATTGCCTTTAATGTAAAACGCACGTTTTAGTGTGATTTGAAGCCTTCCCAAACTCTGTCATGTGTCTTCCATGCATTAAAGGTTGCCAATTCAACAACTACCTAACCAAAAGTGTTTCAAATGGATGGCTCTCCACGAAGCTCTCAACCCCCTAACCACCTTGAAGTCCCTATAAATTCAACAACTCATTCTCTTCATTCATCATCCCGGAGTGATCATTTTAGCTTTAGACGTTCCTCTCAGCTTATTTACGTTTTCTCTTTTAGTCTTTGAGTTGTTATTGTTTTAAACCTTGTTTATTTCTAGTTCACTTTTTATTTTTAGCTTGTTAGTCTTGAATTGTAAGTTTAATCTTGTTTAATTAAAATTCCAGCAAGTTCTTTGTTACTCTCATCTCTCTTTCGTTCTCATTACGAAGTTGTAATCACTCAACCTTGAGGAATCGACCGAGTACTGCTCCCCAATCTTGAAAGAGAACGAGTTATGGTCATTCGGGTTACAACTCCACAATTTCCAGCTTGTTTTAATTCTACTCATCTTTTAATTATGTCGTCTACTTCCATCAACATTAAATTCTGTTTTTCCGTTATCATCATGAGCTAAATTTATTTTTCTCAAGCTCGGTTATGGATAGTTAGTTAAAGTTTTTAAAATCCAACAAGGCAAAAGGCATTTTTCTCCTCTTTTATCACTTAAAGTTGTTTCCATAAGTTGAAACTTGATTTGGCCAATTAATATTTTAACCCAGCATCAATACTGAAAAGGTTAATACGTTTTCACAACTTTACTTATTTAACTTTAGGAATGGACTTAAACCTTCAAAATCACTTAGACGTAAGAAGATGGTGAAGTAAAACCGAAGAAAATTTATGAGAGGCGTCTGGCCCCTAGTTGGAAAAAGTTTGTGTATTTTTAGCTAATTTGAAGTAACTGAGCTGGGTTTATTGCATTGAGTTTTTAAATATCAAAACCAACATTATCCTTATTATTTGTCAACCCAACTTCAATTACAAAGTCACCGATCATTAAAATTTCCTATAAAAAGACTTCATTTGTCCCTGAGGATTGATACTCAGAATACTTGTTTCATTTTACTACTTGTGACGGGTGTACACTTGCGCTCTCGTTTATTTTGAATCCAAAATCCCAAACACCTTTCATTAGTCAATATAAATTAAATATTAATCAACAACTAACTAATTAATGTTACAATGAATCTGTCCAAATTTAGTTTAAGATGTCAAATCAATGTGACCACGAATCTCTCCAAATTTTTACAATAGTATGTTATTGTCAACTTTGGACCTAAGTTCTTCTTTGATTCAATAAATGGTCAAGCTCGGAATCCACTGAGGTCAGCAAACACTGGACGATCTACCTTGCTCTCCTGAAGAACCTACAAAACAAAGTTAGCACTCTGACGAGCAAGTCAGTCACAGTCCGATCTAATGCTCAGAATACGAATGAATTCACGTACGTTGTATATGGGGCAGGCATAACTTCCAACAGCGGCTCAACGGTCATCAAACCGTCTGTAAAATGCAGCGTGTTGTTGGATTAATGTGTTGTTTAACACTCTGCGGACATCTTTGCATATGTCAGCTCTCACCTTCAAGGTCGGGCAATGAAATGTATTCTAGAACTCAGCTCGGCAACATACTTCGACCTGAGGAAACTTTCACAAATTATCATAATCAAAGTATTCTTTAATAAAAATATCTTTTCACTACTAACACATGGCAGGCGATAAACAGTCCACAGCAGCTCTAACTCTTGATTTGTTTTTTATTTTACTCGAAATATCTCGTACCAATATATTGTTCACTAATTTCATGAAAATTAGTGGTTTTATAAATTAAAAAAAATAATTACGTTGTTTATTTATTGTTGAAATTAGGGGGGAATAACTCATATAATTTGATCAAATTGAAAGTTGCAATTACAATATCTACGCAAATATAAGGTCCAATGGGATGCTTTTCAAAAACAACAATTCAATCTGATAAAATTGAAAATAGAAGATAAAAACTGACTCACCTGGAAAAAAAACAAAAAACTTTCTTCATCCTTTTAATTTCGTCGAAGGGAAATGAGAATCCGTATCAAATTTGTAGTCTTTCATTTATTATATTCTTTTTCAATCAACAACAGCAAGTACGGTGGTGAAATCATCGACCTTTAGAACGGTAATAGCTTCTAATTCACTAAACTACTTTCGGATGAGTAATTTGAAGTCTCGTTTATCAATTTAGTTTTTTTTAATACAATATATAGGGTAGAGAATTCAAACTTAAAACATAATCAGATATAAATATCTTAACCCGTTGAATTAGGTTCATGCTGGCTCGTTTATCCATGTAGTTTAATACAAATTAAATTACAAAATCTCTAATTGTAGAGATTCTTCTGGTTGGTGTTGTAATTAATGGGAGATTTCAAATATTGTTTTGGATGAAAGATATTCCAAATGAGATGGGCTCCACAAAATAATGTCTGATTTTCCCACTGAATCACTATCCTCAAGATTCCCTCTGTTCCCAATTTCCTATCCCAATTTCTCATTTTCATTATCATCATTATATTTTTTATTACTTTAAATAAATAATGTTTAATTTTGGATCAACTCTTTAAATAAGGAGAATATGGAAATCTCAATTTTATAAAAATATTGACATCAATTGATATTTCTAGAGGAAGAATTATAAAAATCGAGAAATTTATAAAAATTATTTAATTAACAAATAAGCATATGACCTTTTTTGACTTTGATTACTAATATTATGTTCATATTGATAAAAAAAATTATATTTCTTTAATGTTTTATCTATTTTTTAATGATATAATAGGAATGCCGTTTCACTCTGTATGTCAATGTCAAATTCATAGATATATGAAAATATCAATTTAAATACCGTCACGTCGATGGAAATTTAATTCCTTACAGTTAAAGTTGTGAACCTTTCTTTGGTTAAGTTAAATATTTGAATTTAAAGATTATTGTAACGGTGAATTGTTGTGACATTCCATTTTATTCAATTTTGGAAAAGGTAGCTTCTGAAGGGAGTAAACATGTATGGACAAAATTAGACTTCGTCATTCATTAAAGGCATGTTTGGAGTGATTTTAGCAGTAGTAGAATCACTTTTACTCATGTCAAAAATCACTCCCATTTTAAAATAGAATGTTTGGTAAGAATTTTTAAGTGATTTTAGAAAAATCCAAAATCACTTTTAAGTGATTCGTGGTCAATCACTTGATCCTCCAAGTGATTTTTAAATTAATAGAAAATTAGTTTTTAAAAGGGTTATTAATTTAATTTTCAATTTTGTGTTTCTATTTACTTACTTTCACTAGAATTTGTTTTTTCTAAAATTTTTGTCACTATCTAATGTTATTTATCTTTAATTTTGTTTATTATTTTTTCTCTAAAATTTTTTATAATCCCTCTAAATTTTTAGTTATCCCCTCTTTTATAAATTTATTTTTCCCTCTAAAATTTTTGTCACCCTCTAAAAAATTTCTGGCTAAGGTTCTTATTTCTCTTTAACTTTATACCCTCGATAAATTTTTTTAAAAATTTTAAATATTAATAATTGAAAGTCATTTTTAATTATATAAAAACCACTTGAAAAAACGTATAACCAAACGTTAAAATAATTATATAAAAATTACTTTCACAAAATCAATTATCATTGAATCTCTTCTACTAAAATTATTCCCAAACATGCTTTAGCCTGTTTTGGAATTTGAACAGTTAAAAGTGATTGTATAAGAACTTACCCGTTTTTAGTAAACTAGTTATTTATCCATTTAAATAGAGTCACTTTTTCAAAGTTGATTTGCAAACTTTGGTTAACAACAAATTTTGAATTTGGCTTTCCTAAACATATCGTGTATTTTTATTATTACTTTTTTTTTCTTTGAGGAATAAACATATGGTTCATTTACTAACAAACTTTTAAAAATTCTCATTTGATCCCTCCATATATTACGTTTTCAAATTAATTTTTTGATATTATATATGAAATTTATCGAACACTAATTTACTTCATATAGTCATTGATTATATAGCTCATAGTTTTAAAAGTAAAGTTCGACAAT